TGTCTATATTTTGTTTCGATTGTCATTAAAAATGGCTTTATTTATTTATTTTTTTCTTAAAAAGTATTGCTCTTAACGATCTGCACTCCCTATCGTTACGATGTATATATGCTTTTGTGGTCGAGAATATTAAATTTTCGAGTGGAAACTTTATATAGCACCTAAGACCGCATATAGCCTATGTGTTCTCAGCAACATCAAATTTAAGGCATTTTTTTGCTGGTATTTTTCGGGACTTAACAACCTTGTTTTATATTTAAAACAAATTTCATATTGTACAATTTTACTGCGACTACTAGTACGGAATTTCACGTTTGTTCCAAAGTCACAAACGCTGTGAAAAGAAAACACATACATTTTTCTTATGGCTAGTAAGCGGGCACCACGCCAGAATACGGCTGTTAGTGTTGCCGAAGCCCAAAACATAAATAGTGACCTACTGAACTAAGCACTATAGGACACATGCTTGCCTTACTTTGATAAGAGAATTTTTTGTCATTACAAAGCTTAGCCACATGGCACATACTGCAAATGCGTTCAAAACTAAAAACGTTAAAGTACTAAAGTTTACTACTTTTTTTATTTTTTTATTCATTAATTTAATCACAAATAGTTTCGCTATAAAATCGATAGTACTCTCAGGCTTTTTCATGACCTCGAAAAATTATGTTTTTTTTGGATGAATGGCCGGCTACGGAAGGGGAATAAATCATTCGCTTTACTTTAGGATTTCATAAGGTAACAAATCAGTCTGTAATTCCCGAGAAGAAGTAAAAAGACATTTTTTTGCCGAATTTTGTTATATTCTGGACTTATGGGCGATCATTAGCCATAAAAGGAAACGATATATTTTTTTTTTTGTTATAATTGTTGTGAGCTTGTATGTAACCCAGATATTCCGAAAAACCAGTCGCAATAAAACATTCTAATATCAGTTTTGTTGAAGCGTTGCTGAAAAATGATTTGTGACTTGGGATGTCTCTGTGATGTTGCTCAGAATATGGCTGATAATCCAACGCTTCGCTAACGCCTTTCGTATAAAATGAGATGGGAAAACATCCGAAATACGTTTCAACTTTCGCGATCATCTCACCGTTTAATTTAAATCTTTCTCCCTGAAGACGCTAAGTACTGGGTGCCAGACCTGGAGCATACGGTGAGTGGAATAAGATTCGACCCTCAACACGAGCAGCTATACCAATTCTCGGACTTAGTAACACGTTGACCCTATGTCACCTCTCAAACTAAACTGATAGTGCATTCATTTCGACACACTCCTTGCAGAACTGACGAATACGGAATCACTGGCCGTGTATGATTTAAAATTACTCTTCTATCAAATCTATATCAAATATACAAAGAGTCGGTTCACGGGAATGTGGTAGATGTGGTTCTTAAAGTAGAATAGGTGGATGCTTCACAAACACATTCTTGGATTAAGGCAAACAATTAATTTTGAAATCGACAAAGATTGAGTGACCAATGCGTGATCAGGTATTACACGATTTTTACTTAAATAAACGACGTTGAAATCTCTTAAATGAATGTTTTCGTAACTAAACTAAGCGCCTTCTCTCCGAGTTCGTATGCAATCTTCGCTTTCTTTAACGATTTGAACCACCTAAGCTGCTTTAGAGCTGAACACCTGGAACAAGGCCTAAACTCTGTTTCCTCAGCGTTCTACTAAGTAAATTAATTCATTTTGTTGCCAGTTCTTCAAAAACTAAAGTGTTAACATTTATCGTAACAGAGCCAAAGGGGCCGGCACTCACACGACTGTTGTGCAAACAATATATTCAGAATTTTTATGCCCTCGCTCAGTATTGTCGGATAACGAAACTAGTTTTGGTATTTGTTTTAAAATATTTTGTGAGTAAACACACAAAAATTGGAATAAAGAAGCTCAAGATTCGGCCGGAAAATTGCTTAAAACTTTTCGCGACGTTTGCGATCATATGCGACAATTTTCTGATTTTTTCGAGGACTCACGTTTCGTATATATCGCAATCAATCGAGAATATGGTTTTCCTATTGAATGACAAACATATTTATGCATATATATAGGTCGAAGGTGAACGATCTCATTTACTGTACCTGCACCGTGACACGTATTAAACGGAATAGGGGACCAGCATGTGTGATGCATGCGTATAGTTATGAAATAGTTTATGTGCATATGTATCGTTACACGCGTGTTTTGGAATTCAAACGGTATTGCACAATAATTTCGTAAAAATTTCTTTCTTATATATATATATATATATATATAAACATAATGTACACCAACAAACAAATAGCGAAACATACCGCTGCTGTTGTTTGCTCATTGTCATGGGAAATTTTACAAATGCTTGCCAAACTAGTGCGTTGCCCATGATCCGTCTTAGATGTAAAGGCAGCATGAGCATGTGACGTCACGCTATTTAAACTTCCCGCCCCGCTGTTATTTCTGCGAATAGCGGTCCCTGCTTGAGATGAAAATGTTTCTAGTGCTGCTTCAGCTATTACCGATGACGGCAACACTGATGGCGATGGCGATGGCGATGGCGGCTGAACTGTTGTTGTACCTGTCGTATGACATGGTGGTACCCCGTTCGCCCTCCCATGCCCGCGTTCCATGCACGAATACTTATTGTGCTCACATTTATCGATACACCAATGAACTGTTCTTTTAAAATTTTCTGCGCTGGGATTTAAAAATAAACGATTTCTAATGAAAATAAAAAAAAAAAAAACAAAAAAAAGCGCGCACACACACACACACACGCACACACAACACCAGAAAAAAAGAAGAAAAAAAAAAAAAAAAAAAAGAATAGAAACAACTTTAAATCAATTCGCGCAAAACATATGACACAATAACAGATGAAAAATCTGTGTCACATGCATACGAAAACACATCGAAAACGAAAATGTGGTCTTTCGATTAAATGCACTTCACTCTAGTGACACAAGTATAGAAAACAGAAAAAGCCATAATAAGTACATATTCATGTATGTACTCATGCATATGCCTGTGATAATGGATGTTTTTACATAAAACACACGAGCAATCTCTGAAAGCAAAATAGTTGTTACTCTCTTTTTGTTTTCCGACGATCTAAACTTTTATTCATTTAGGAGACGGTTTTCTTTACGTACTTTCACGAGTTTTACACTTCACTCCACTCAAGACAGCGTTGCACCCTACAACCCTCTCATTTCCCGCATTGCATATGCGTGCATATAAAAATATATTGGTATGGCAAGAAAGTATTTTCGGTATTCTCATATATGACAAACAAGTTGCAATCGTAGTTGAAAAATAAATTCTCGAAAAGTGGACTCGAAAATAAAAGCATAAAATAAAAAAAAAAAATAATAATAATAAGATTAAATGTACTTCGATGGTCGTGTTTTTCCTTCCACTAAATCAAACAATTCATAAAATTTATTGGTTAAGCGTTATATAGCGCTTGCGTAAAACTCTTTGTCCGAATTGTAGATGGACACTTTTCGGTTTTTGATGAGAGATTTAATTCGTCTGATTCTTGGCCATAATTGAAATAGACAGACAGATTGCTTTAAGACGTAAGTGCTCTTCATTTGGTACAAAATTCGACGTCATCGTTGCTAGAAAAAATATTTTTCCGTTACGATATGCCCTGGCTTTAATGTTATCACTGATTGTTGTTGTTAGTGAATGTCCAAATTTAAGAAAACAGAATAACACATGTCATCAGTGTAATTTAAGTGCCAAATCCGGACTCTTAGTTTGCGCGCCTAGTAAATCGGTTGAATGAGTGAGCGGAATGAAAAAGTTGGCTTTTTTAGCTGCAAGTCAACAATCGTATTAACGCATTGAACGAATCTCACTTAAAGTGTTGTCTGGCTGAGGACAAAAAAAAAAAAAAAAAAAAAAAAAAAAAAAAATGAAATTAATGTATTTGGAAAATGTCGTATGATTTAAATGAAAAAATCCCACTACTTTTTGATCAGAGTATTATAACTTTCCTTATTTAAAGCTAGACAGCCGCTAAGGTTCAAAAGATTTATAAGCAAAATTTATTGATTGCGTAAGCAAGAAGAAATAGTATAGCAATTGGTTGACAAAAATCGATCTAAAGATTTCTCATTCAACTTTTCGGTTATCTCACTGAGCGATTATATGCAACCGACTTTTTTTTTTTCTAAACCAAAATTCCAGAATTTTTTAATGAAAACAGTTCGAGGTATAATAACTCAAATACGATCAAGTTAAGATCATTCAAAATCGATCATAATGACGAAATGTGACTGTTGTTGTGAAATTGTATGGAAAATCTATTTCGAGCTAACTCCACGAAACTACAAAATAAAAGATTCAAATGATTTCTCTTGATAAGTAATGGAATAGATAATAAAAAGGCTGAAATTGACAAAACATGATAGTTCAATATTTTTATTGTGCAACTCTTCGGAGAAAGTCAGCAAGGCGTCGTTCGATTAGAGCTCATGCCAAGTTGTTGTAAACTTTTTGGATATTAAAAACTTAAAATTGCACTTTTTTACGGTTTCTTGCTAATAATAAGTCGTTGAAATCTTTATGAGCACGAAATCACTGAGCTACCACCAATATAGTGGAATTAGATGCTTATATAAATCGTCAAATTATTGCCTTATTTACAAAGAACGATTTCAATTTCATATTAGAGAACCCAAATTGCTTTCTTGCCAACTTGTTATATTAAAAAAAAAAAAAAAAAAAAAAAAGAGAGGAGAAATTAAAGTCATATTAAGTTTTTTCAACTAATGTTTATTGGTCTGTATTACCAACGGACTGAGGGCGTCAGAAATGTCTTTAAAAGAAACTGAAATTTAAAATATCAAAAATTTTATGCACAATAGGCCTGATAAAAACAATATCAATACATTTATCTCCACAGTTGTTATTATTCACAGCCAACAGATAGGGAATATGCAAAATTCGTCTCAAGGCGAACATAGTTTTCTTACTTGTTTGTTTTTATAAAGAAAAAGAAAAAAATAAATAAATAAATAAATAAAAATAAAAGAATTTTTTTTTTTTTTTATCGTTGTTGTTTGTTTCTTTAAATTGTGCTATAAATCACATTAACAGCAAATACATATGTAATTATGCGTATTTATAAAAATATATAGAAAAACCAAAAAACAAAAAATTGGTTTTCTTTTACTTTTCTTTTACAAAATTTTGCTGTGCACTCATCTTCGCCAATAAATTCTATTTATTGTTTCCACCGAACGCAATGTTCAAAAGCGATGTTCTCGGATCGCGTATCGACCATAACTAAAGTTCTGAACAGCATTGATCATCAAGAATGCCACCAGCAGAGATCGCACCAAACCAGCAGCATTTGCTGGCCATAAACGAGAAAATATCGACACTGTGTATATGGGTTTGTATATATATATATTGTTTGTATATATATGTATATATGTATGTATGTATGTATGTATGTATGTTTGTGTGTAAGCGTGCAAGTGTATTTATAATGAATAGTTGCACCACAAATGGAACATTATTTATAAACACATACACTAGTAAATATATATTTACGTGTTTATATAGTTTTTGTTATGTTGACTTTGATTGAGTAAAATCTCCGTGCAAGCGGTTTCGCTTTTTTTTTTTTTTTTTTTTTTTTTTTTTTTAACTCTTAATTCTTCATATCACTTGTAACGCACAAACAATTAATTACCGAAATATTAAGAGTCTTAAACACACACAAACATATGCATACTATAAAGTAAAGTGCATACAGTAAAACAAGGAAAAGAACAGAAGTAATGCAGAAAAATCTAAAAGAAAACAAATGAAACTTTTCCTTGAACTCTCAATATTGAACTAAAACTTAATCAAAATTTGACTTGAAATGAAACGTAACATACGTATGATAGAGACATGTAAATGTAACTCCAACAGTGCCTGAATAGATTGCGTACAAGAGAGATCAATACCTTCATATATGGGGTAGGAAAAATACAGGCATAAATCATATATTTGAAAAATATAGCCGATAGAATACTTGGGTCTTATATATGTCGTTTAGTTATCGTAGATATTGCCGAAATAAACTGCATGGGCAGATAGATAGTAAAAGTGCATAAAAATTTACTCCAGCTAGCTACCTATTAAATAAAACACTTTATCATTAACAAAACAAATTAGCCAACGGTAGGTGTTTAAGGTTCGACTCTTCTTAAATGTGCAAAAAAAAAAAAAAAAGGAATAAATAAATAAATAAAGAAGGAAAAAGAAGAATGTAAATCTTTCTTACGTGTGTTTTGAATAAATTTTTTTATTGACTACATTTTAATGCAATCTGTCTTAAATTGATATTAAATATTATTTGTAGCTAAAACAAAGAAATTATAATACTTCAACAACATCTTATAGCTTATATTTATATATAAATTTTGTATATGTAAACAATTCCGCGTAATATATATATATATATATATTTTTCTATTTAATTTTGCATGCAAAAGTTTGTTCTGTTTTTCCTATCCGAAAAATGGAATTTTTTTCACAACCTCGTGGTTGCAACTAAAAAAAAAAATAGGAAATAATGAACCGCTTTTTATGGTTGTTGTTATGTTGTTACATACCGTACACTTAAATATACATTAAAAGCCTCTGAGGGCAATAGTTGGTAAACGCAAAGACGTCTTAGATAGCAGTTCTCTCAATAAATTTTATCTAAATATTCGGTGCACGTGAAGTTAGTCAGTCCGCAGTGCGTAGCTTAACTTTTTTGCTATTGCTAAAAGATGGTGTCTCTGCTTTAAGCCTTTGGATCGAGTCTTTGGCCGACATTAAAAAATCAACAAAATGATTTTATAAATGATAAACAAAACACAGAATCGTGCCTTATATATTATGAGAAATAAAAAACAAAAAAAAAAAAAAAAAAAAAAAAATTATATATTAACATTTGATGATCATATATATACAAGTGTATGTATGAAGGTGGAGAAAAATTACAACATACATGGTATATTTGTTACGGAAATCCCACGTTTGAGGAGAAATGAGTTTGGTTGGAAACTAAACGATATTCTAATAAACCAAGCGCGCATTCGCGACGCAGCTGGCGACTCGCGGATTGATTAATAACAATTCTGAGAACATATCACAGATCAAATAGGATAAGTATGCAAATGTTATAGTGAACTTTGGTATGGGTAGCAGAGTGTGTGCAGAAGGCAAAGCCAATCAATAGATCTTCTAGGAATTGGGAATGCTATGCGTATGCACGAATTTAATCTCAAAGGAATTCTTCTGCCCATTTCCAAGGACACCGAAAGGTGTCGGAAAAATTGAAACTCATCTGAATATTCAGGGTGTATCACCGCTAAAATCGTCCATATATGTGCCCTCCTCCATATGCGTAGCATAGTAAATTGTTTCTTTGAAATTTCTTATAATTAATTTAATGTCTTACGATGGTGATGGACGCACAATATCACAATACAATTACGTTTTTCCAATGAATTTGTACATAGTGGCAATAAAAATCCGAAGTAGCCTCGCTTTGTATATTAAACACTTTCATCCTTTCACTACAAGTAACGCATAACTACGCATGCTAGTTAGTGGCAATGGCTTCCTTTTTCTTTTCGGGTTTGCAACGATAATAGTCCGCATGAGTAGTCGAGTAGACCAGAATTGTAACCACTACACAGTCAATCAGCGTTCTCGCTTTCGTCTCTTAATGTGGTAGAGGATATCCGGTCGTAGCTGTGCTGAGCGCCCAGTGGGTAAACTGGGTAACGCGTGCCGATTTAACTTTTAATAGACTTTAATTTTGACCATCATCGCGACATCGGCTATGTAAAAACAGTGCATTGCACTAATGTATCTAACGACACATATAGTGCAACGAAGTAAGCTTTGTTGTAAACGCTGTTATCTTCTTTTCGCGAGCTTTAGTTTTTGATCTTGCTTACGGAAGTGCAGAAAAAAAACTACCGGTAAATAAATAGACAAGCGCGTGCGTAGTATAATAGTCAAGGTGATATCCTCAAATGAATATTTCTGACTTGTTGAATAAAAATTTATATTAAATGTTGCAAGTTCCTGCACAAATATACAAATGAGGTAAACGAAAGCCGTGCTTTGGGTTCGTTTTTTCCGCTAATGGCGCTGCGCTCGCAGTTCCCATTTAATCTATACATAACTATTTCACTGGCCAAACTGATTAACATCATAAAATGAAAAGTCGAGAAGATCGATCAAATTGTTTGTTTACAACTTTTTTACATCGTGGTCTCCACGGCAAAAGAAAACATTTCTCATATCTAATTAACTGTTGCTTGCTTCGTTGAAAGATGTTTTAACAGAATTTTTTAATTATGGTTTCCATTACAATAGTAAAGAAAAATGCATGTGAGTGCGGTCAGTACTTATTATGAAAGAATTTTTTTTGGAATCAATCAGACAGTTTGACAGTAAAATATAAAACAAGTAAGAAAGTCACATTCAGCTAAAGCCGAATCTTGCACATCCAACGCTATGCTTCTCGCATTCTACCCTCAAAGTTTTTTCGCTTGATACCTATATCGTTGGAATTGTTAAAAAAAAAATATTAATCGACCAAGTTGCGGTGTCTAATGACACCGACAGACGATTTCCAATTCGAATTCGATACTGATCAAGGATATATATACTTTATAGAGTCTCTGAAGCTTCCCTATAGGTGTTACATACATTATGTAAGATGAGCATACTCTGTCTCACTGTGATGGCTATAAAAATCAGCAAGTGGAGTTAATCGAGTCCGTATATATATATATATATATATATATATTTGATGTATTTGCAAGCAAATGCTTATATTGAATCGAAAAGTCCTGCGTAAAGTGGTTACTACCTATGTTACTGTTCGATGGGCAAAAGAACAAAAAAGTTGATGAGTCTAAAACGATCTCGAATGAGTATGACTTAGTGGATGGGGAATTACTTATGCGGCAAACTTCTAACCTTTCGATTAGCTTTATGTTCACTACATCATCAACGACACAGGCCTACAAATTGGCTGCTAGGTGGCGGCTTCCAGCTCAATTGTTGTCGAAAATCCAACGAATTGCAATGACATTTAAAGGGATTATGGCTGCTGTGTTCGCGAGTAAAAAGTAAATCGTGCATATTGACATGTTGCAGATACAATTGACTCAGTATAGTTTTAAATAATTCAAGCTATTATTAATTTCTGTGCAAAAATAAAAAATAATAAAAAAAACAATTTTTTCAAAAAAAAAGAAGCCGCGTATTTGTCTTCCATTGTTGCGTTTCTAATGTGCATTGCCGAGCATTGAATACCGAATGTTATCACTATGCTACGGAAAACTGTTGCTAACGTCTTATCGCAACTTAGTCGCGTTGCATTCATTCGTACTAATATCCACTACAGATTCCACAAATTTTATCACTTAACATAAGATTCTCAGTCCTTTAATTACGCTTGTTTGTCTTTCATTAGGTGTAAGTACGCTATCGCTGTCTTAACATGCAAAACAAAAAGCTAATATTTGCCGTTTAAAAATTTTTGGTTTTACCAAAATCATCTCATCAGTGAGAACAAATTGTTTTAAAAAAATTAAGCTCTGCTTAGCAGCACGCATACGGCAAAAGGAATAGGCTTTGATGCATAAAGTTTTAATCGTTGCCCGTGCATAAATAGTAAGAAGAATGAGATGCGATGAATGCGATGCGTTTACAAGTTAACTTTAAAGCAATTATAGTTTTCTTAATTGGTTTGATAAATATGGTTTAAGCAATATAAACCGGCTGGCTGTCAACAATAATCAAATCGTCAACAGTTTACAATAAATATTTCTAGGAAAGAATGTTTAACTTAAGACTAACTAACTTAAGTAAATAATTGTAATATATATGAGTTAAGTTGTTTGATTTGTTACATGTGTTAAATTAAGCGAAAATGACATTTTTTTTTTTCGTAAGCTTTTTAATTAAAATACGAATAAAATTTAAAAACACATTAAAATGAGGCACTTACAAAGAGAACCACTTGGCCAGCAGTATGACAGAGAAATTATATTTAATTGATTAAACGTCATTAATGCTATTTTTTTTAATTGTTTATTACTTATGGGTCTGCAACGAACTAACCTCCTGCCAATAAAAATATAATGAAACAAATAAGAACATTAAAGTCGAACAAGGTCGATTATTGAATGCCTTATACCACTTCGCCTAGCACAAATATTCATTTGTTATTGCCATGCAAAAGTATGCTTTTCATTAAAGCGCACATCTTGGAGGATTCCCATAACAGCACTTGGCATAATCTAAATTTCGCAGACCTACTATACTTCGAAACAAAATTTTCCCATTTTTCAGTGCCCATCATAAAAAACTAGAAAAATGAATTTT